TTGAGGTATTGTGTACCCTGGGCTAGGAGGGTCCCGCAGAAACTAATGCAGTGTCAGGTATGAAACACTGAAGGGTCAGCTCTGGGAAGCAGGTGTGCAAAGTATAAGATGTGGTTAATGGCTTGAGATACAAAGGTAAGAAAATATGAAGAATTCTCCCAGAGCAATTGGTGAGCCTTTGTGGATCTTAGGGTAACTGAAGCAGGGGTGAAAATGAAGTGAAAGTGTTAATCGCTCATTCTTGTTTGACTCTTTGCGACCCTGTGGGCTGTAGCCCGCCAGCCTCCTCTGTCCATAGATTTCCCAGGCAAGAATACTGAAGTGGGTTAGCATTCCCTTCTCCAGGGGATCTTCCCAATTCAGGCATCAAACCAGGGTCTCCTGCATTGCAGGCAGGTTCTTTACCGTCTGAGCCACCAGGGAAAGCCTGAGGCAAGAGTAGAAGAAGAGACTGAAAACTGGGTTGAGATGACAGTGAAGAACACTTTCAATGTTGACTAAGACACTGAACTTTGGATGTACTACCTGTCCCAGAACATGGACTCGTCTTAGCTGAATGTCTTCCTCTTTTGTAGGATGGCATTTAAGCCACACCCCACAAGCCACGTGAATAGTTACAATTTCTATGAAGCACCTAAAACATATGAAGCACAGGACTAGGTCCTGGGGAGGAAGCATCATGAGGGAAGGAATTCAGAAATGTATAAGGTCCCCTGGAGCCACAATCTAGTGGGCAAAACAGAATACCAACAACTTAATATTTTTAGCCCTAATGCAAATAACTGTTCACCACTGCACTCATGCGAGACGTCAGATTTTTATGTATACCACATTTTTCATCATAAAAATAGACCACAGAACAGGGGAAGCTTCCGGTTTTACTCGTCCAGCTAAGGGCATCTTCAAAGAGCAAAAGCAGGAACTTTGTAATGAAGACAGAGGAGGAGGAGGACTCGGGGACAAGAATTTCTCATTATCTGTCAGACAAGGGCACGGTCCCTCATCCTAACATCTCAGTAGAACACGCTGACCCTGTGGATCAGGGTTTGCCTGAAGCTGTGGGACTGCAGAGTCTATATCTTTTGCCTTAACTGCTTCGGTCCCTTAAAGGTAAAGAGGCTCTTTCGGGGTGTGGCATCTCTGTGAGCCTCACAAAGCTCTGATTTGAACATGGCAGGTCTCTTCTTCCTTCTGAATGGGGGACGTGCCACAAACAACCCGAAAGCTGGGCAGTGGCACCTCTCAATGAAAGCAAAAGAGAGCAAGATTTATTAAAATTTAAGAAACTAATACCTAGGGATCAGAGCCCCTCTCTTCGTGTATTGTTCTTACCTGGTCTTTCACTCCAGAGGAGTATCACATTATAATAGTAGATTTTCTTTTTTCTTTTTAAAATATTGTATTTATTTTTTGGCTGAGCCACTAGGCATGTGGGATCTTAGTTCCACAACCAGGGACTGAACTCATATCCCCTGTATTGGAAACGCAGAGTCTTAACCATGGACTTAACCATTTTCTTTAATCAGGAAAGCCTTGTAATAGTAGATTTTCAATACACATGTTATGTATTTATTATAAAATACAATAAAATACAATAAGATAATTATAAAATGCAATAAAATATTAAAATATTTTATTATGGTAAGATATGAATGTGTGAGTGCTCAGTCATGTCCGACTCTGTGACCACATGGACTGTAGCCCGCCAGGCTCCTCTGTCCATGGAATTCTCCAGGCAAGAAGACTGCAGTGGGTGGCCATTCTCTTCTCCAGGGGATCTTCCTGACCCAGGGATCGAACCCATGTCTCCTGCACTGGCAGGTAAATTCTTTACCACCGCACCACCTAGAAAGCTAAAATAACCTTTACTATTGAAACTACTTTCCCCTTTTCAGTCCATTTTGACTGAATATTCAAAAATCTTGGAGTCCAGTCTCACCGAGTCACTTGGCATGAAGTATAGATCAAAGAAGACGGCAAGTTGGACAATCTTTGTTAACCATTTTTTAAGACTATAATTCAGTGGCATTTAGTACACTTGTGATAACGTGCAACCGTTTATCAGCACCATCCGTTTCCAGAACTTTCTCAGCATCCTAAACAGATGCTCTGTACACAAGAAACAGCTCCCCCTCCCCTTCCCCCAGGACCTGGTTCCCTCTCTTCTACTTTCTGTCTCCATGAATTTGCCTATTCTAGCTTCCTCATGTAAATGAAACCATACAAATTTGGGGTTTTGTGGATTTAAAAAAAAAAAGTGGGTATCTTTCAGGCAGACAGACAGGAGGAAAAGAAAGGGAGACCAGCCAAATGCCGCTTTCCTTGGCTGTTTCACTCCCTGGCGCGCGCCCCTCCTTCCCTGCCCGTCTGCGGGGCACAGAGCCCATGAGGCTCCTCCTTGCAGCCCCTCCTGCTGTTCATCTCGGCTCCTTTCGCTTCCTTCCTGTTCTACAAGAGGCTGATTTCCCCTTGGCCGACTCTGTCAGCTGAGCTCAATCAAAGGCAGGGTCGCTTCTCTCCTGCTAGCTCAAGTCCCTTCTTGTGCAGCCTGGCTGGGCTGGGGCGGGCGGCTGCCAGGCTTCTAGTCTCCTCCGAGGGCGCCCTGGCCACAAAGGAACTTTGTGTGTGTGACCAGCGGGCGCTGGCAGGAGCCCGGCTGGCTGAAGTGGTGAGTCGTTCCTGGTACTCGCTCTCACTGCCCTTGAGACCTGGGGCCTGGGGGGCACTGCGACCCGGAAGACGATCTTCTCCAGCAAAAATAAAATCTGCCTCTGCTTCTCCTGCGTGGTTCTTGGTTTGTAATTACCTGTGACTTTCATAGGATTGACCGGTCGATGAGGCAGTCTTGGAAAGGCTATTCCTCAGCATTTAGTGCCTGGGAAATTCTACTTCCAAATTCCTGGGGGCTGGGAGGTGGTGGGGCAAGGGGAAGGGTGAATAGAGCAGATTTCCATGAGTATTCCTAATTTGGAAAATCTGGGAACTTCCCTGGAGGTCCAGTGGTTAAGAATCTGCCTTCCAGTGCAGGGGATTCAGGTTCGATCCCTGGTCCGGGATCTAAGATCCCACGTGCTGTGCCAGGCAACTAAGCCCAAAGCATGCGACAACAAAGACCCAGCACAGCCAAAAAAAAAAAGAAAGAAAGAAAAAGAAAATCTGTCCTCTAACTTTCTTGGTTCTAGAGATACTCTTCTAGAATGTGGGCCTCCTCTGTCAGTGACTAGACATGGAATGTGGATATTCACATTTATAGGATGCCCCTCACAGCATAGGCCAGTCTATTTACCTCTCTGTGAAAGTGTTAGTTGCTCAGTTGTGTCCGACTCTTTTCAACCCCAACGGTAGCCCACCAGGCTCCTCTGTCCATGGAATTCTCCAGGCAAGAATCCTGGAGTGGGTTGCCATTCCCTTTTCCAGGGGATCTTCCCAACCCAGGGACTGAACCTAGGTCTTCTTCACTGCAGTCAGATTCTTTACCATCTGAGTCGCCAGGGAGGCCCATATACCTCTCTGCTGCTGCTAAGTCGCTTCAGTCGTGTCCGACTCTGTGCGATCCCATAGACGGCAGCCCACCAGGCTCCGCCGTCCCTGGGATTCTCCAGGCAAGAACACTGGAGTGGGTTGTCATTTCCTTCTCCAATTCATGGAAGTGAAAAGTAAAAGTGAAGTCGCTCAGACGTGCCCGACTCTTCAAAACCCCATGGATTGCAGCCTACCAGGCTCCTCCATCCATGGGGTTTTCCAGGCAAGAGTACTGGAGTGGGTTGCCATATACCACTCCACCTATTAGTAAAGATGATTTCAAAGTAGCTTCAGAGGGAACTGACCAAACCATACCATCCTGGTCTAAAATCTCCTAGTCTCCCTACAAGAAGGCTGTTCTTATCTAAGACTCTGTGCAGTCTACCACTGACTCAGTTTGTTTGTTTTTTGCTTTATTTTTTTGACTAGTAGACTCTCTGATTTACTTTGCATGACACTGGCCCCCCTCATTTCATTCTTCTGTGTCTTGCTAGCGACTGGTGGCAACTGGATACACAGTTTCATGTTAGATACCTGCCTTCAAAGCCTGACTCTGCTACTTCCTAGCTGTGTGACCTTGGGCAAGTAACTTAACCTAGCTTAGCCACAGATTCCTCCTCTGTGAAAAGGGAACAAATGATTTGTTATTCTCAGGGATGTTGCTAGGATTGCTGAAAATAATTAGGAAAAGTGCCTGCCACATAGCAGAGACTCAGATGTCAGTACACACACCATACCCTTTTCCTTCTTGATTTAATTTAAAAGCAAACTGTTCCCAGCTGGGCTTAAGTGGATTTGAGTTCCTGGGACAGAATGCCAAGTGTCCCTAGTTTTTTCAGGTCATGCCAATCTAGGCTGGGCAAGAGTGCAGTGTGTGCTAAGACGCTTCAGTCGTGGAGGACTCTTCCTAACCCTATGAACTGTAGCCCGCCTGCCTCCTCTGTCCATGGGATTCGCCAGGCAGGAATACCAGAGTGGGTTGGCATCGCCTCCTCCAGGGGGTCTTCCCAACCCAGGGATCCAGCCGGGTCTCTTATGTCTCCTACATTGGCAGGCGGTTTCTCTACCACTCAGGCCACCTCCTCAAAGAAAGAGGGTAATTGACAGCACGCACTCATTTGGCTCGTGATCCTGATTCGCACTTAGGGCTTCATCCAAGAAGCCACGTCTATGCGGCGCTGCCCCTTAACTCCTCTATGCTGCACCGAGGAGGGGGTTGTTCCGAAGAGGCACCCGGCAAATAAAGCCCCAAACACCTGCGACGTGGTTTCACAACCTGGAACTGACAAAGGGCAAAGCCAAGGAACCTAAAAGGAGTGCGATGCGGGTTTGGTTTTACGGAGCAGAAGGGCCTCTTCTAAGCAAGCCAGGACTGGCTCACCTGCGTGTTGTTACCCGGGCAGGTAACTGGGAGATTCTATCCCCAAGAGACGCTGGGGGCGCTGCTGGAGGGCGCAGAAGCTCCCAGGGGGTGGCGTGGGACGTGATGCATTCGGCCGTAGGAACAGTCAGGGCTTGGGTTTCTATTTGTGAAAACTTTCTGTATTGGTTGGTTGCTTCTCCCCAGCCTCCCCCGCGATGCGCGTGCTCTCCGCGGCACAGCTGTGATGGGATTTCTAAACCCTGGCTGCCAGCGGACAAGGACGATTAGGTTGGACGGATGCTGACCGTGGCGTCCTCCGGGTGGGTTTCCGCGGGGTGCAGCCCGCTGAGGTCAGAGAGACGTGGCTCGCGCTCTGGGTAAGTTGCAGGTCCCCGCCAGGCCCACAGCTTGCAGCGCAGACTTGAATCCAAATTGGTAAGATCATCATTTCAGGCAATTGCACTGGTGCTAGAGACCACCCGTTTGGGACTCTGGGGTTGGGCGTGGACGTCCGCCAGGTCTGTGATGATCTCGTTTCCACCCCAGAAAGCGCTGTTCCATCCGAGTCCCCGGCGAGGGGTAGGGCGGGGTTTCCGGAGGCAACCGGGGGGAGAGGGGGGGCGGTGCACAGCTGCTCCGGCAGACCCCAGTCCGCGCCACCCAGGGTCCAGGGACGGGAGGAGGGCAGGGGGCCGCGTTCCTTCCAGCGAGCAGCAGGCGGGGAAGTGGCGCTTTGCTCCGCTGGGGGTGTTTCTCGGATTTGCTGCGGGAGCCCGGGATATTTTTGGCTGGCGCGGGTAGATGGGGGCGGGGGCGGTGTCAGGGCGCCGCTTCCCCTTCGACGCCCCCTCTCTCGGTCGCTGGGGGGCGCAGTGACCTCGCGACGCCGCTCGGAGCCCGGCCCGCATAGGAGCCGACGCGCGGCGCCCAGCTGGCTTTTCAGCCGCTTGGGTGAGCGGAACCCGGCCAGGGATGCGAGGACCGCGGGAGGCGGGGGAGGGCGAGGAGGGTGGTGGGAGGGATGCCAGAGAGGCGTGCGCAGAGCGGGGAGTGCGGGGGGAACCCCAAGGTAGGTCAGGGCAGTGCTGAGTCCCCCCACCCCCGGAGATCTTTGGGGAGTTGACTTGCAAAGGGATGGGGTGCGGGGTGGTGGGTGACCCTGTGCTCGGCTTGGGTCCGGAGGGGCGGAGGAGCCGGACCGCCAGGCACGGAGGGCGCAAAGAGACTTCCGTGAGCGCAGAGCCTGAAGCGGTCCCGGACGCCGGGTGACTTTTCTCGGTTCCACAGAAACGCGTACCCAGATGGCGAGGGCACCCCAGAGGACCACCTCCCCATGACGCCCCAAGAAAGTGGTGGCACAGCCACTTTCTGCGGCTTAACCGAAGTAGGCGAGAGCCGGAAAGCGGCGCACGGGGCTTCGGCCGAGCGCTAGGTGTGGGATCCACCTGCTGAGATTGCGGCGGGGACGCGCCGGCTGCCTTTCACCCTCACCCCGCCTGCCCGGTGACCGCGCGGGGGGGTTGCTACCGACCTCCTGCGGAATTGTGCTGTCAGCTTGGAGAATGTAAAGAACTTTCCGAAGAGGGGTCATTTAGCCTCAATGGGAATGAAGACCCAAAGGAAAGGGGATGATCAAGCGCTGCCCTGTGTTACTGCAGTGCAGTTTGAAAGGATCTTTAAATAGGCTTGCAGGCAAAAGTGCAAAGGACTGGGGGTCGGCCGACTTGGGTGTCTTGGACCCTGTCCTGAAGTCGAATAGCAGGGAGGTCTCGGCAAATCAGGAAACCTCGTTGAACTTCAGTTTGCTCGCGTGAGACGTGGGAGGATCGGAGGTGCTCCACCTTCCTGGGTGGTTTGGAAGATAACGGAGGGAGGGTGGTGTTTTGAAAAGCATCTTCGGTGGTTTCTACAAATTTAGCATTGCAGACCACACCTCCTTCCTGGCCCCTAACCGAACCTTGCTTGTAGCGGAGATGCGGCAGGACCTTCTCCGCGGCGCTGGAGTTTTCCTGGTTGCCTGCCGGGGTGAGATGTGTCTATTTCTCAATCTCTTGTTGCAATTACTCTTCACGGCACAAGCGCCAGTTACTCTGCCCAACAGAGTGTGACGTCAGGGCATGGGAACTTTGCTTGGTTCATCAACTCCTTTAGGACGTGTAGAAAGCGGGGGCGGTGCTCGGAGAGTTGAGGCAAGTTGAAAGTCGTTGTGGCGGCTGGGGGTGGGGGGCTTAGAATTTTTTTTTAAATTTTTAAAATTTATTTCTAGCTTTGCGGGGGTCTTCCTGTGTGCAAGCTTTCTTTAGTTGCAGCCAGTCGGGGCTACTCTTTGCTTATTTTAGCTGCGTTCGGGGGCTTCTCATTGCAGTGACTTGTCTTGTTGCAGAGCACAGACTCAGTAGCTGTGGCCCGCTGGACTTAGTTGCCACGTGGCATGTGGGATCTTTCCCCATCAGGGATCCAACCGGGCCTCCCTCATAGGTAGGGAGATTCTTTACCCCTGAGCCACCCGAGAAGCCCCTGGGAGGTTAGATTTGATTGGGCATGTTCTCTGGGAGATCAGTTAGCTCCAAAAACATTTCCTGAAGTTGGAGTTCTTGTTTTCTGACAGGGGAAAATTCTGTCGGAGCCAAGGGTAGGCATCCAAGAATAAGCATTTTAATTCGAACATCTTCAGAGGAAGATAGGAGTTCTGGAAATGTTTCCGACACCAGTCACACACAGCACAGGATAATGGCAGGGAGGAATCTGAATAGTTTCTCTTAGTACTAATTTTAGATTCATATTTCTAATACTGAAAGGAGAGGTTTGCATGGTTGGTTGCCTTACTGTTAAAATTTAAGCAGTCCTTGTTAGATAAGCATGTCCAGCCTTCCAGAGATTATAAACGTGAGCAATACTAGAGCCCTTCTGTCATATTTTATCTTTTTATGGATCAAATAGGACCTCTGATTGGCTTTTCCATTTTAACTAAAAGGAGTTGAAAGATGACTCATTTAAGAGTTTGGGAAATACAATTGAGACTGTCTTACACAGAACTGTAAATTCTTATAAAATTTAAAATTAAAAATCATCACCTGATGGTGATGATAAAGCCAACTTTTAGACTGTTGTGTGCCAGACTCAGATATGCATATTACAACCCATTTAGTTCTCACAACAATCGAAGCACAGATAGGTTGAGTGCCTTGCCCGAGGTCACACAGTGAGCAGTGAGGAATTTCTCTTCTGTCGGCATAACAGTTATATTTGATTGGTACTCTTTTTTTTTTTTTTTTGCTTAGCATCTGCACTGGGTTTTCTCCCAGCCGGGGTGAGAGAGACTGAAGGCTTTGGAGCAGGGATCCAGGATTCTGGACTAATTGCCAAATTGCTGTGTGGTCTTTATTTTTTTAAATTTTATTTTTGGCTGTGCTGGGTCTTCATTGCTGCTTGCCGGATTTCTCTAGCTGAGACGAGCAGGGACTGCTCTTCAGTGCGGTGTGTAGGTTCTCATTGCGGTGGCTTCTTTTGTTGCCTGGCTCTGGGGCTCATGGGCTTCGGTAGTTGTGGCGCGTGGGTGCTTCAGGGCTTGTGGCATCTTCCCAGATCAGGGTCGAATCTGTGTCTGCAGCATTGGCAGGCAGATTCTACACCTCTGAGCCACCAGGAAACCCCTGCTGTGTGGTCTTTACTTCCTTTTTCTGATCCTCACTTTTCTCATGCACAAAACAGTGCTAATAATCCTCTTTTGAGTGAATGCTTTATTTCTCACTGGAACATGGAGTGTGAGCTGGAAAGAAAGACTTCTCATAGTGTAAAGGGAAGTTTCAGAGTCCTGTTTCTGTCAGCTGTGACAAATGACTGGCAGATGGCAAATAAGTAAAACCTGGAGGAAACTACACATGATGAGGTTTGCCCAGCAATTATATTTGAAAATTGTTTTTTTCTTAGATCCTTAGCATTACTGTCATTAAAAGAGATAAACGCAAATTAGACCTCAAATGTTTTCTGGCAGGTAACATTGAATGGCACCCATGTTCAATACGTGCTTTTCTGTGGTTGATTGCAGGTGATGAAAATTGGAGGGTGGAGGGTTTTATTTTTTTTAATCCTTATATTCTTCTACATTCTTTTATTCCAATAAGCTATAGTGGGTCAGAGAACAACTAAGTCCTAAAAATATATGTAAGTTATTCCTGTGTTCTCTCTTTGTTTGGAAATTGAGGACGGCCACTTTAAATCTGGTAGGTAAGGAAACTTGAACTTCTGAAGATACTTACTTTTAAGGGCATTTTTTTTGTTTGCTTTTTTTTTTTTAATGTGGACCATTTTTAAGGTCTTTATTGAATTTGTTACAATATTGTTTCTGTTTTATGTTTTGTTTTTTTGGCTTGGAGACATGTGGGATTTTAGCTCCCCAACCAGGGATGAACCCACATCTCCTGCATTGGAAGGTGAAGTGTTAACCACTGGGCAACCAGGGACGTCCCAAGGGTACTTTAAACAATATGGTTCAATTGTCAAATCATTTGAACTGTCTATGACCTATATAAAATCTTTTCTGGGGCTGGGGTTCTCACTCTTAATTTAGATTCTGGTCTCTATGGAGATTTGGGCTGGGGGAGTCACCATGTCAGTGTTCCTGATGTTACCGGGCTCACAGCAGCAACTCCATGCTTGGTGACTGCTGATCTTCTGGAGAGGTCCATGAGATTTAACGGTCTTCCCTTCACCCCTGTGCAGTTGTGGGTAAGAATGTGGACTTGGAGCAAGACTAGCCTGGGTGGGAAACTGGCTCCATTGACTAACTGTGCCTCAGTTTCTCTTCTGTAAAATAAAGATGGTGTGGTCATATCTACCTCATAGGTTGTTAGGAGGATTGAGTATATGTGTTTAGAAAGCTTAGAACCGTGTCAGGCCTGTAGTAAACGCCATCCAAGAGTTAGTAATGAATCACTGCTGATGGGTAAGCAGTCAGAGGCTAAGTGCTGTGGAACACAGTAGATCAGTAAATGGGGAGAGTGTACACTTGTAGGGATGCAGCTTTTAAAAGGGTGGTGGGGAATGTCTCAATCCAAGGGTAAATTAGAATAAGATTGGGATGGGGTGGGTGGAGGAGGGGGTATAGGGTGCAGAGGGGTATAGAGGCATAGGGTTTTAGAGGTGATAGGTAAGGAGGACAGAGGGGTAACTTAGGAACACAGGAAGACATAGCACATATGAAGTTTTTTTTTTTTTTAACTTGGGAAATTGTCTTATGGAAGATTTCAAACATTAAGTAGAGAAAACAGTCCACGTGCCCTCCTCCCATCCTCAACAATGATCAACGTGGCCCATTGTGTTTCATCCATATCCCTCCCTGGACCTTCCCGCTGTATTATTTTAAAGCACAAATTCC